ATGATGTCCCCAAGATGCCAATGATAGCGGCTAATTCACTACAAGTTTCCACTGATTTTATGGTTAAAATTTCATAAAACATTCAGGAGACTTTCGCTAACAATCGATTGGAGACTACAGAATTGAAAGTCTATGTGTAATTTTTCTTTGTCGTGCACCTGTCGGGCTATAAAATCGTGTTAGAACTTTCTTACCTTAGTGGTAAATGTTAACGATCATGAAATATTCAAAATGCTTTCTGAACAGACTTTCAATTTCAACTTACAGAAATACCGCCGATTCTAACGACTGAAGATAAAATCACATATTCTTAAAATACACACACATGCATTTCTTTTTCAACTGAAAATAAAATGGTTAAAAAGTTAGTATGATTAAGCTGAGAACTCACAGAGGGCTTCATGACAAGTAGCATAGGACTCTAATCTTACTAGCAGCTGTTGTATAAAGTCAATATAATTTGTTATATGATAATTAAAAAAATGAGAAAACAGATAAGAAAAAAATCAAAGGTAAAAAATAAGAGTGTTATTCAACACATTGATGGAGAAAATCGTTAGTCATCTATCTCCTACATGGCCTGAGTCTCAACCCTATCGGTCGATTCAGGACATGACAGCTGCTGGAAGAACCTGGGCCACCGAATGTCCAGTAGTGGTCACTCAGTGGTCACCTCGGACTATCGTGGGCACCTGATTAATAAAGTGTCCGGAGAATGACCGTGAAATTTACCTAAAGTGGACATGAATTCAATTTCTTGTCCTGAGTGGCCACACTAGAACTCTCCGGCCACACAATAAGGAAGGCGTGGTGGTCAATCCGCACAATGAACGATAGTTTACTTTGTTTGCTGGGGTCATTAGTGTCAAAGGCAACCTCGGGTCTTTGATATGGTAGGACTGGTGATATTTTTAGGATGTTTTCTTCGAAATTCAAGAAATAGGCGGATTTCGTAGAGATCCAACAAGCTGTTGCCTTCAGTAAACACTTCTGCACACACACACGTTGTTCTTGAACTATTCATGGTAATACTGCTAATCCTTACCGCGTTCATATTCAACATGACAATCCATACTTTTTCTTAGCAATACATCAATCCTTACCTCTTTCATAGTAATATGACAACCCTTACCTTATTCTTAACAATACGCCAATCCTTAACTCGTTCATAGTAATATGACAATCCTTACCTCATTCTTAACAATACACCAATCATTACCTTGTTCACAGTAATATGACAATCCTTACCTTACTCTTAACAATACACCAATCCTTACCTCGTTCATAGTAACATGCCTCTGTGCCATGGATCGAACCCGCGACGACAAGGAAACATCGCGTCCTGATTATCATAATATAGATTATGGATACATCTTATTGCCGTTAGTATTACAAAGCGTTTTTTAACGATTGTTCTAAGTATGATAGAATTTCGTTTATTTTTGATGAGTATTCTTATCATAACAATGTACGCATATGGCCCTTCTTTGAACGCATTTATTGCTATGAATATAACAAAGGTACGAGAGTGTCTTATTATCTTCCATTTTATCTAAACATATTTTATTGATCAAGATATACCTCAAATGGATTGGGCACGAATTCTTACAACTTACAAGGCCCTCTTCCATCATTACAATACATAATAATTAAACATATCACGTGATTACAACATTTAGATATTAGATATTCACAGAGGGATGGAAGGAGGGTTAAGGAAAGGGGATAAAATAAGATTAAGAAATGCATATCCCGGTTATCTAGGTCGTCCACTAATTAGTTTCAAACCTTTTTATTGTTGTTTTTATATAAGAAAGCACGGCCAATATAATATTGACGTTGGTTTGGAATGGAAGGACAGGGTCTTCCCACAATATTGACGTTGGTTTGGAATGGAAGGACAGGGTCTCCCCACAATATTGACGTTGGTTTGGAATGGAAGGACAGGGTCTCCCCACAATATTGACATCGGGGATTAGATGGATACCATTGTCCACTAGATAATTTTAAATACCTATTCGTGGATTAACAAATTGCGGATAAATTAAAAAATAATTATAAGAATCTTCATTATCATTTCCACAATCACTTATAGGCGATGGGCATATACTCACACCAAATACATAACATATCCTTAATATGATATAATTTGGCTAACTTTGATAGGCCGAATTAAAATTAGGTAGGATAGACCTCTCGGTATTAAAACTCAAGGCTTTACCTTTACACCAGCAGTTCGTTATTCTTATTAATGACTTTTTTTTCAATGGAGAATGAAATTTAGCATCGCAATCAAGCAACCAAGAATAGATTTGCTGATTTTTAATAAAACGTTTGACTAACGTTCAGCTGTGATTTAATAGTTTGGACGACCGAAAGATTGCACCATTGCGGATATTTCAGGCGCGACCACATCATAGAATCCAAAATACCCCGAAATTATGAGATCGATACCGCGTTCAAATTAGCTAATATTACACCGACTGATTGCAGACGGTAACCATTGGCGCTTTGTCTCATAGCACATGTAAGGTCGGCCTTTGAATTTTGTTGAATTTAATTATAACGACATCCAAAGCTAACGGTTGATCTCATCAGAAGCGAGCATATGGACAGAACTTTATGAGACTGTGTGTCCCGCTACGGCTTCTGGATCAGACAATGACAATTTAAACACTTCTAACAAAAAAAATAAGGGGAAAAACAGCCCCACCCCTCCTCTTCAATCTATCTTTCTCCCCATCTCTCACTCTCCGACTTTAGATAACAAGAAATATTGTCGACGATACAATATATTTTTAGATACAAACTCGGGAATTAATTCCGTTCTGTATTCGCCTAGGACATCATCATCATCATCATCAAAATTTTATTTCTTCACTCGGCCACCCTAAAGTTTAAAGCAAGAACTCACACATTTGAAGTACAATTTACAAATACATATATCAATGTCTGTAACAGCAATAATTAAACTAACTACGGAAATCTGCATTATCATGTAAATGTACATGTTTAAATCGAAAACGTCCATTGTATTTTTAAAAGAGATATGAGAAAGTTGATCAATTAGGATTCACGTGATAATTTCATTTTTTCTCCAGAAAACTAAAAACATGTTTAAGGATAACTCTGTTGTATATTGAAAAACATCCCTTTCATTTTGAAAATAGTCGGGTAGATACAGTAATATTTTGGTACGTATTTTGAAGGGTTCGGACAGTCTTTGTTCACTATAGGCGTCCGAAGTACAATAGACTAGGGTGCCTACTTAATGGGAGTTCTGGGGTGACCAGTACATCATTCAAAACCAATAAATAGGCCAGATATTTTATACGTATATCGTGATGAGGTAGCTTGTTTAGTTCTAAGACGTGGGGAGGGCGACAGATGGAGTTGTGTATGCTGTTAGGGTTGTTAAGAGATCGATTTTGAAGATCGACCCGCCGTGCTAGTTTGTTGACAGTCAACTGGTGCTTATACCAGAAAACGTAACGGCTCGACATCTGGACAGCACAGTTGTATACTGGACAAAGGTAATCGGCTCAGCCAGGCATGAAAGCGGTCTCGTTTGATAGTACAGCCGTACTTTCACGTACATATTGTGTCCCCAAACCCCCCAAACAGCAACAGCAGTTATAATATTGACAGGAAGGGGGTAGATCATTTATTTTTATCAAAATTAAAATCACATCAAGAGAGGTAGGATATATAGTGGTCACTTATGTCTCTTGTCAAATATGTATTCTATTCATCTATTTCCGGGTCATAATTTTAATTGCCGTTGTCCATTTTCTTCCGGATCTTCATGGTTTCCGGATTACAATCTTCATGGGTATCTGTTTCCGGATTTATCGCACGATTATATTTTCCTAAACTTATTTGTGCCTGTAAAGATATTCAATTCTCACGGGATAGAAAATTGTTTACAATTTGTTTTTGTTATCTTTTTCATGTTCCGATAATCACTGTTATAGTTTTGTGTTGAGTCATATATTCTAGAAATATCCGTTAATTGGTTTGCCTTAATATTAAACATTTGCTATATTTGTGCTGTATACTTGTATCCGTTGCATATCAATGACATAAATGTAAAATGCATATTACAGAACGAAGACTTGTAGTATGGAACATGTTTTAATTCGAACGTGGAAATTTGTTTACATCCTTGGACATTCAATAATCTTTATTTATCATCTGAAGTTTCGTCTTTCTTTAATCAAGTGAGCTGGATATAATCGCGAAAATTTGGAAGCCGAATTCAAACTCGGATATAACATTTGTCTGACCATTTTGAGCAGGTCTGAGATGTGTGTATAATATATATCTGTGAAGATGTATAATAATTTTCAAACTTTACGAAGTGTAATAAATATTGAAATTAACACACAACAGACTTAGTTCAAATTATATTATAATATACAGCGGTGACACCGTGTGACGGGAATAGTAACAGCTGTTGTCAACGGCCGCCGGTACAAATCCAAAGAAAACCCCGCCCACTTTATACCGTAACCCAATCGGTGCACATGATTGACAGTCACGGTGGCACGTGGCTGTCGCGCGACACCAATGTTTGCGAATCGAACCCGTATGTGATAACAAATGATTAAGAAGGTGCTAGTTCGGCTCTTTGTTTTCACGGACGAGATGTGACAAACGGAATAACGGCGATTTCTTTTGTGACCGAGTGGATATAAACGCGAGGCCATACCGGGTCAAATAGTAGACAGAGCCACGGAGCCAAGCTGGTCACATCGCAGAGAGGCTTTTTCAGTCAAGGCAATGCTATATCAAAGGAACATGTGTTAGTGATATTTTAAATTATTGAAGAAAACATAAATCTGAAATGAATTATTGGAAAACGTGGTCGCGCATATGTTGAAATATATCAAGACTTTTCCCGTTGTGGAGTTCCATTGAGTTATTGATCTGCGACATTTAAAGCTAGGGAAACTGAGGCAGCAAAGCGGTGCTATCGACCTGTGCCAAGCGATACCAGGATGGTACGCAGCTACCACCAGACTACACAGCTCCTCCATAATGGTTTTGAGGAGCAATGGACTTGGAATAAAAAAGACAAATCTCACGAAGTTCGTTTATACGGTACTAAATTTCAAACAGCACATTTCCATCCGAACTGGTCAAATGGAACCGCCGGAGTTCGTGGCTCGCAGGTTCTCAACTGTGGAAGACATTACTGGGAAATCAAAGTATCCCAGCGAATATTTGGGACGAGTATGATGTTTGGTGTCGGCACAAGACGTGCCCGGCTACATGTGGATGCATTTGTGAATATGTTGGGAGAGGATGGTCAGAGTTGGGGCCTGTCCCATAAAGGACTGTTGTGGCATAATGGTCGCTGGAGACAATACACCACGCCCTTCAAGGAGAATGAGGCGACTGTAATAGGGATGCTTTTCGATGGACACGAAGGAACTCTCAGTTTCTTCAAAGACGGGTCATATCTTGGAGTGGCATTTTCTGGTCTAAATGAGATTGAAGAAGAACTCTTTCCAATTGTGTGCTCCACTGCCGCCAAGACAGAGATGACTCTTGGAGTTAGGAGACGAGGATATGTGAGCTTACAAGACCGTTGTAGAGCTACGATTTTATCGAAAGTGAAACAAAACAATGATATAGACAACTTGCCTCTTCCGAGTCGTATCAAGTCGTTCCTCAAAGATGTGGCGAAATGATGACCATTACTGTACCAGTGGTGCCATGACTATGTGTGAGGACGTTATGTTGTGAGCTGTACGAAAGAAAACGGTAATTGGTGCTAAGTGTGTCGTGATAATGTCAGAGATTCAGATGATAACACTATGTATGGTCAACAATTATTTTTATGAGTTTTAATTTGTTTTTCTATGTATAAGATTAATTTTCTCACTTGAATCAATTATTTACCTTTTTTATTCGAGAATTTTCTACTCTATATCCGTGAATTAGGCTCTATAAATATTCCAACATGGCGACGTGGTATCAATCATTGTGACTGTAGGCCGCTGTTTTGGTATATATGTATGCAATATTAATTATGTAAAGTCAATCTGAACCGCCAGCCCACATCCATATATAGCCACAAGGTTGGGTTTATTATCCATAATTTAGTATCTTATCGTCTATCACATTCCAAAATCAGTCGAGCGTAGAAACAACTAACTTGACCGAAACCTAAAACCAGAGACGAAAACAGAATTTCCAAATAAAAAATTTCTCGAAATTATGTGAAAAAAATTAAGCATATTTTTTTTGATAAATTAAAATCGGTGTTCCCGACTCGCCTGTAGTTGGGATTATCGCTGCAGAATTCTGTCATCACTGAATGGAAGCACGGCCATGCTATTGATTTCCTGTACAATAACAGTATATTTCTAATTTTAGCGGTGGCCCTAGATCGTGTTTGCATTGTGTGATTCAGGCGTTATTATCGAAAAATTCAATAATTTGGGGCCCTCAAGGGGAGAAATGATTTTGCCGTAACTGATATAATAGAACATCTGTTTCCATTGATCTCGCTTCCTATCATCAGGGTATTCATCCTAACTAACCTTTGTCCTTTAGCCCTAACGTCAATAATTATACTGTTATCAAATACATGTATGATAAATGTCCTCATTTTCTACACAGCATTGTTTAAACAGTTGTTGCGTGTTTCTGTACACGGCACGCGACGGAGAGATTTTGTAGTTTTTTTAATATTATCCATTTATTTGTAATATGCACGTTCACTTTGTAAGTCATTATACGAACAAAATTTTCGAACCACGCCGTTTGCAATTGGCTGGTTTACGGATGAGTCTCCTAGTCAAGACTTGTAAATATGTATATATAATATTTATTGAAGTATATATCTAGAATAGCTTATATATGTAGATATCACCTATAACTATATATAGAAGGAACGAATGTCTCGCTCTAACGGATCTGTTGAAATCCTAACCTGTAAAATAGAAATTTTATACTTATATATTCATGTTACACTGAATTGATCAATTTGTTTATTTTTGTTGAAATTAAAATTTGAAAGTGATTTTTAAGATTTAAAAGTTAATTTGCGACATCACCAGATCTCGTGTGAGCAATAGTCCGCTATGAATCTATATACTGATAGGAGTCAAAATACAGAGGATTGTGCACGTGATTCTAATTATAACGAGAGTTAATGAAGTTTTTTCATATGACGATCTAGAGTATATATTCTACAAAAAATGTGGTTATACGTATCTTGGCGAGGTAGAAATAAATAAAAGAGGAAGGAAAAATACCCAATTTACTATTAAATGACAGTAAATACATACTTAGACTACACAGCTATCACGTTACTACTTTTGATACAAGTATGAAAATTGTATATCAGATTTGAGGTCACAGTATGGGATACTGTTATTGTCATTTAGTCACAGTTGTGTAGGTTAGAATGGTAATAGATTTCACTGTTGTAGTTTTACCACAGGAATCAGACTCCATATTGACTTGGTCCATTTTTCACGTGATATTATTTGTGTTACAAGTTCGTTATTTAAACGAGGTCTGTTATCAGTACCCTGTACATTTGTATATACCTTGTAAGATCAAGACAAGAACAAATACATTGTAGTGTCCGAACACTCGGTGTTATCGTGGTGTCTGATTCCTGGTAAAACCATTGTTGTAGATATACTTTTAGAGGTAGGTGTAGTTAGTACTGGTGTTGTGGGGTGGAGGTAGGTGTGGTACTGGTGTGTGTTGTGGGGTGGAGGTAGGTGTGGTACGGGTGTTGTGGGGTGGAGGTAGGTGTGGTACTGGTGTGTGTTGTGGGGTGGAGGTAGGTGTGGTACGGGTGTTGCGGGGTGGAGGTAGGTGTGGTACGGGTGTTGTGGGGTGGATGTAGGTGTGGTCCTCGTGTAGTGGGGTAGAGGAAGGTGTGGTACTCGTGTTGTGGGATGGAGGTAGGTGTGGTACTGGTGTTGTGGGGTGGGGGTAGGTGTGGTACTTGTGTTTTGGGGTGGAGGGAGGTGTGGTACGGGTGTTGTGGGATGTAGGTAGGTGTGGTACTCGTGTTGTGTGGTGGAGGTAGGTGTGGTACTGGTATTGTGGGGTGGAGGTAGGTGTGGTACTCGTGTTGTGGGGTGGAGGGAGGTGTGGTACGGGTGTTGTGGGTTGGAGGTAGGTGTGGTACTGGTGTTGTGGAGTGGAGGTAGGTGTGGTACTGGTGTTGTGGGGTGGAGGTAGGTGTGGTACTGGTGTTGTGGGGTGGGGGTAGGTGTGGTACTGGTGTTGTGGGGTGGAGGTAGGTGTGGTACTGGTGTTGTGGGATGGAGGTAGATGTGGTCCTCGTGTTGTGGGGTGGAGGGAGGTGTGGTCCTCGTGTTGTGGGGTGGAAGTAGGTGTGGTACTCGTGTTGTGGGATGGAGGTAGGTGTAGTACTCGTGTTGTGGGGTGGAGGTAGGTGTGGTACTCGTATTGTGGGGTGGAGGTAGGTGTGGTACTCGTATTGTGGGGTGGAGGTAGATGTGGTCCTCGTGTTGTGGGGTGGACAAAATCTGCACGTGAAAAAAATGCACTGAGGAACAATTTGCTTGCAAACGTATCATATACACAATTTATTCCAATTGTTATTTCATGAGATCTGGTGATAATGCAAACTGTACAATGAATAACGACCAAATAGTATATTTGTATATACCTTGTAAGATCAAGACAAGAACAAATACATTGTAGTGTCCGAACACTCGGTGTTATCGTGGTGTCTGATTCCTGGTAAAACCATTGTTGTAGATATACTTTTAGAGGTAGGTGTAGTTAGTACTGGTGTTGTGGGGTGGAGGTAGGTGTGGTACTGGTGTGTGTTGTGGGGTGGAGGTAGGTGTGGTACTGGTGTTGTGGGGTGGAGGTAGGTGTGGTACGGGTGTGTGTGTGGTGGGGTTGTGGGATGGGTAGGTGTGGTACTCGTGTTGTGTGGTGGAGGTAGGTGTGGTAGGTATTGTGGGGTGGAGGTGGTGTGGTACTCGTGTTGTGGGATGGATGTAGGTGTGGTTCTGGTGTTGTGGGGTGGAGGTAGATGTGGTACTGGTGTTGTGTGGTGGAGGTAGGTGTGGTACTGGTATTGTGTGGTAGAGGTAGGTGTGGTACTTGTGTTTTGGGGTGGAGGGAGGTGTGGTACGGGTGTTGTGGGTTGGAGGTAGGTGTGGTACTGGTGTTGTGGTGTGGAGGTAGGTGTGGTACTGGTGTTGTGGGGTGGAGGTAGGTGTGGTACTGGTGTTGTGGGGTGGGGGTACTGGTGTTGTGGGGTGGAGGTAGGTGTGGTACTGGTGTTGTGGGATGGAGGTAGATGTGGGCCTCGTGTTGTGGGGTGGAGGGAGGTGTGGTCCTCGTGTTGTGGGGTGGAAGTAGGTGTGGTACTGGTGTTGTGGGGTGGAGGTAGGTGTGGTACTCGTATTGTGGGGTGGAGGTAGGTGTGGTACTCGTATTGTGGGGTGGAGGTAGATGTGGTCCTCGTGTTGTGGGGTGGACAAAATCTGCACGTGAAAAAAATGCACTGAGGAACAATTTGCTTGCAAACGTATCATATACACAATTTATTCCAATTGTTATTTCATGAGATCTGGTGATAATGCAAACTGTACAATGAATAACGACCAAATAGTTAGACTGATTTACTCACTGTTTTTACATCAACAAAGTTTGATCTTAAAAAGCAAACTGGTCAGTTCGTGTTGTAGGATATTATGCAAAATTGGAATTCCAAATGAATTGCAGTTTATTTTTTAAAATTGAATTTAAATAATAGTATTGACGATCATATTATGCATATTGTAAAAATGTGATCTGATAGTGTGTACATATGTGCATGTGTAATGTATGCGGGCGTACGTGTGCGCGTGTTTGTAGTGTGGAGTAGGATGTTCACAAGGATAGAACAATTAGGCTGGGTCCTATGTGCAATAGTTACTATCCTCCTGTAGCCAGCCCTGCGTGCACAGCACGTGGTCAGTTTGGCTGCAGTCGGTGAGTTTTCAAAGTGATCTCATAATCTCTTGTATATACAATATTAGTGTTTTCTATGACGTCATCGATATCCTAATTTGTGAGTGTAGAGTGTAGAGTTTTAATTTTGTAACCAGTAGATAGCACTATTTTTATTTGAAAATGTATACTAAATACTATGGACACATACACATATATATATATGTATATAATCAGAGAAAAGGATGGTTAAGAGAAGGAATTAATTATCCCCCTCCCTTAAACTGAAAAAAACTCATATCAGATAAGCGTGTTCTCAAGGTCACCATCAGATACCACCCGATTAGTGTACCAAAGGATATGTCGGATTTTTCTTTGTTGATCTAAAATATTGAATAGGAAATCCGCTAGATCGCCATCGTAACAAAGAGAAGGTTGAAAGGAACACTTAGTAAGCCAGTTATTGTACAGATATTGTATATCGTTTTCTTTCCTACTGATGTAGGTAGTTTTACTAAACTTTCCTTTGTATTCTAACCGCGCATGGTTTATACAGCCCGGGAGATTATGCCAGTGCAATTTGTGAAACAGTATCAATATCAGTATTTTTTATTTATTCCATTAAGGTATGTTAAGTCTTTATTATGTTGGTAATATTATTTGCTTAATATTTGTCTAATTAGCACACGTTCAGAGATTTTTATTACGTTGATCAACAGCATGTTATTGCTTGATTAAATAATTAATA